TATATGTTTTTATAAACAAGTACAGCAACTATAACTTACTAAAAAAAAGGCACAGTTGGTTGAATTGGTGGGTCTAGTCTTCACCTCTGTCCTTTTTCTCATCTCCTGCATGATAAATCCCCTTTGAGTAGCTTTCCTGCTCCTTCCCACTTGTACCAAGCATAGGAAGTCCCTCACAGCCTTCAGTCCTGGATTCCTTCTGCCACATTGACAGCACAGCCAAGCGGCGGTGTGCGCGGTCTCCATGTCAGGAAGGGCAGCCCAAACACAGTGCTCTCCCACCACGTCCCTTTCTGGGCCCTTGATCTGAGCAGGAGCCATGTGGCTGCTCCAAGAGACTTCCCTCGTAAGCAGTAGCCAAGGAGGTTTTCAGGGAGTTTTTGTTTACTAGTAGTCTGAAGAGGTGAAATCGAGGCTGTCTGACCATCTCTTAGCCTTAGCTCCTCTCTTGTACAGAACCTGGAGTTTAGCAGAATAATATCATTAACATCTATAAGCTATCAGATGCTAGGTTAAAGGGACCAACCCTAATAGAAGGATAAGCTTCGTCACTTAATATGGAGTTAACTGGGGCACTGTAGTTCCGTTCATGGAACATCACTGGTGCTGTACTTAAGAGATTAAATGAATAAAAGATGAACAGGGAAGGAAAATGTAATGAGTAATCTCAGCTAGTTCTGTTTCAGACCTTGCTTGTCTTCTGCACCTTCCTTTCTGAGTGTAGGTCTGAGAAACTATGTCCAGAAGCCCCAAAACCTGCCATATGATGAGACTGAGCCTTGAGCTCCTCATCCTTACCAGAGTTAATTAAAGTCTCCTGTGACTCCCACTCTTCTGCATTTCTCAGTCCCTTTCTTTACTCCCTTCTTTTCCTCTAGGCACTCTTTTTTTTTCTCTTATCAGTATCAGATCATGGAGGTTTTGCAGGAGGGAGTGTGACAGCTCTTCTTGCAAGTGGCCAAACAGTGCTTCATCTGCTGGGGGAAGTTTGTGCTTTTCACATTCAGTTCCCATCCACTTTAGGGAGTCTGGACTATTATACATGGCATTCATTAATTCTGTCAAAGCTAGGACTGAAACAGAGGCTGAGCTGCATTAATGCTGTGATTTCAATTCCTGCTCATTAGTACTGTTATGAATTGTTCTTCATTTATGTTCTGTCTCAGTTACAGAGCAGGCCTGCAGGGAGGGAGAGAGACTCTTTTGGGGGGTGAGACGTGTGTGCCTGTGCTGTATTTTGCCTAATGCCTGGGACAGGAAGGACTGTGGGTGGTGGAGAGGTTGAAGGAAGCTATTAGGTACTAGAGAAGTACAAACCTCCAATCACACTCAGCTGAAAATCAAGACAATTTCAGGGTACATCCTACTAACAGCAGTCATCCCAAGTCTGGGAACAATGTGTCAGTGGGCTTCAGGGGTCAATATTACTTGAAAATGTAAAGCTAAATAGAAGCTGCTAAGTGTTAATTGTTTTGCAGTCATTTATCTCAGTACTGTTGCCAAAAAGACAGCAAAGGTGAGGGAGGGACCATCACTGTTTTTTATCTAAGAAAATGAGATGTTTGCGCTCTCCTGGAAAAGAAATCAGACTTGAAAGTAGAAGAGACAAAAAGAGTTGACTGCTGGGATTTCTAATGGCGCTGTTGTATTGTCCTGGACAGGTTAAGAACGTCCTGGATGATATTCTCGAGATGCTTCCTGAGAAGTTTAACGTAGCAGAAGTCACGCAGAAGACTATTGCCCCTATGCCTTTGTTTGCCTTCAAGAGTGTAGGAGGAGGAAACCTTGTCCTTTCAGAGATCTGTAGCTGGACCTCAATATGAAGGCGAGTGACTTTTTTATTAACAGTACTGTTGCTCTTCTGTGCATTTTTGGGCTTTTTGTTGCTTTTTTTGGAAATGAAAGAATAGCTATTCTTTATGGTGCCAGTATGCTTTTTATTTTTCTGCAGACAAAGGAGGAGCTGATATTTTCTCCTCACATGGAAGTGCCGCAATCCACACTCTTCTATGATGTTGTGCCAAACACATGGACTAAACTAGCATATTCCGTCCACATAATGCTTTACCCACTGGTAAGTACCCTACAGTGACAGGGTTTAGCTACTAAGCACAGAGCTATTCCAGCAGCTTTGTTCTTTTTCTTTCAAAATTTTTCCTAATGAAAGTCAGTTTTCCTTTGAAGTGGGTTTTGTAGAAATGCCAAGCACTTTGCTGAAGGCTCCATCACCACCCTTTGTCCCAAGTACTAGGGGTGTTCAGCATCTTGCAGGATTCCTTTTCCCCTAGCCTGCCACCAGCAATAGCCGCTTGCAGGTGGCTAGACATGGATAAAACAGGCAGTGTTTTTGGAAATTCCTCTGATACCTCATGGCAACGTATGCTGCAGTATGCCCGTTACTCAGAGCCTCTGCCTGACTCTCTTGTGCTCCTGATTTGTACTTTGCTCTGGCTCATCAGAAGTTTAGATGCACCAATGAAGATGGTATCAGACAATTTGCATTTAAGAAGCCATCAGCTGTCAGCAAATTTTGGCAGTTTCTGAAGGTGTGTTAACATGACTAATGGTGATGTTCAGGTTTCTCCCCAAGACAGCAAGTTTTACAGGATTGAGCATACTCACATTCTCTGTTGCCAGCAACCTGTCTCATGCTGATCACCTTCTACAGTTGATTTTGGACATACTTCCATTAGGGAAACAACGAATTCTGCTGAAACAATGACCTTATGCTTATGTAAGCATATACTTTCTGGTGACTTCAGGCATGTACTTTCTCTGTAGACTAAAGGACTCTTGACATCTGAGACCTACAGTTTATTTTGTCTAAAAAGTAGTGCATATAGATTAAGGCAGAAGCTATTGATGCCTTTTTTTTAAAGTTACTGGTTTTCTCCTGTGGTCCAGAGAACTCGACATCTGGACACAGGACCTTGCGCTTCAAACAGTGGTCTGGCTTTCTGGGTTCCATCCTCAGTCCTTTCTGACAGGTAAGCAGCGTAATGGTTGTAAGGCAGCAAGCATGTGGTTTCACTGCCAGGCTTCTTTTTTTTAACCACTGGTGTTAGCTGTGTTTGTGATGCTGTTTGGAGACCTAATCACATTTTAAATAAAAAGATAAAAATCACCTTAATATCAGAATAACCATCTCCTGAAAGCAGGGCGAACAATCCAAACTTGTCTTCAGTCTACTCACAAGCGTGAAGACAAAGCAGCTAAGAAAAGCTCGAATTTCATAGTTTAAAAAAGGGTTTAAGAATGCAAGTTTTTCTACCATTATTATTTAACCAATTCAGTGCATATGTCATAGTATCATTCTGTTTTACTCCTTAATGCAGTTACCAGGCTAAGGAGAAAAATAAATCAGTCTCCTGATCCTCTTTGTGTAGTTGTTGCCACAGCAGGGGATAAAAACCCTTGCAGCAGTGTACTGATATCTCACTTTTTGCTATTATCACAGCACATATGCTTGTATTTATTCTGAAAACCACAGTGAAGCTACAGAAGAGCCTGATTACTAGTGCAGCTCAAATTCTACATGGTCACCAAGGGCACTTCACAAGCCTAACAGAAAGGTGGCCAGGAGCTCCTCATAGGACACTGGCCGGGCTGCCATCATTCCCTGGAGACCGGCAGTGGAAGCTCAGGGCCCCAAATAGTTGAGGGCCCCAAATAGTGCTTTTTGTGTCAGAGAAATCCCCACTGGATTTTTCGCTTGTTTTACTGCCTCTCTCCAAGCTTTCTGTTCTGGGCATTTGTTCCTGCCAGGGGCTGGGGAGATGCAAGGACCATACAGGTTAGGATAGATGTTAGCACAGGCTTCTTCTGAAGGGGAACCCAGCTGGAGAGGTGTCTCTGAGCCTAGACAGCAATGTGGTCTCACTCTGGTGATGGGGAGCGGAGTTGGCTTGTTTTGTACTCTGTAGAATGTTTTGATTCCAAACAATTGTTTGCATGCAGCTTTTTTGCCTTACTTCAAGTAACGGCCAAAAGAATAAAAAAATTTAAAAATCAAAACCAAACAAACCCCACTCAGTCTCAGGTTTGAGCACAACCAGCCCAAGAAGGGCAGGTTGACAGTTCTGACATTAAAATTTCTGCCTGGATATTGAATTCTTGAAAGCACTATTTTTTTAAAGTTGTAATGCAGAGCGAGAACAATTGGCCTTTGGATAAGGTGCGCTTGACTGCAGATGTTACCAAAAAGACCAAAAAAGATTATGACCATCCAGCAAGGGAAGGAGCCTCTATCTGCGTGCTTTCCATGGAAGGTAAGAAATAAACGTGAATTGCTTGATCTCAGTAGCCTAGTTCAAGGACTCTAGCTTCCATTATTAGGTAGCTAAGTTGCATCAAGAGTTGGACTAAAGTGTTGTGACCCTATGAGCAGCACCAAGGAAGTTTAGGAATGGTGGTGGATTGTTGGCATTAGTCCCCTGTGACTTTAGTGTCCTAATAGTTGACTATACTTCCTGCATTTAAATAACTGTTGTGTCTGAACAAGGTGTGCAGAACCCCCACAAACTGCCCAACCCCCCAAAAAAACCCCAAACTCAAACAAAAAAGCCAAACAAATAAAGACCCCAAACAAATAATAATTTTTTAAAAAAAAACACCCACAAAAATTGTCTTTCTCCTGTTTTTTTCTTCCACCTTGGCAAACAGTTGACAGTTGTAAATACATAGATCTAAAGAACTCTGATTTTTTTTTATTTGCTATGCCGTAATACTTATAAGCCTCTGGGGAGACATACCAAGAAGCAAGGAAGCACTTGAAAATCCCTGTATTAGCATGAGACATAATGACACAACTAGGTGGGCAAAGTGTAAGAATTAAAAGAAATTTTTTTTCATCTGGATTTTCAAGCAGTCAGTTATTGCAGTAGCTGTAATATGGTTGTAGGCTGTCCCTGAATGAAAATCATGTTTATCTTTTGAGCTGCAACCCCTCTTTTAACAACTTTCAGAGGATAAACATCATACCTTGGTTTTTTGAATCTGTGTTTTCCTGAGACTGAAGCATCTCATTTAGGAATGCCAATTCAGGCCCGTCATCAAAATGAGATTTTAGTTTTAACTTTGAAAAGCTGTAAACTAAGTTCATTAGAAGAAAGGTGAATGACTCCCAGGGCAATTAAAGAAACATCATTGTTACTTGTACTCTTCACCAGACCCATATATAATAAAAGGAAAGCAACTCCCTTTTGGAAGGGAGTTGCTACTACAGAAGCCCCAAGGGGAAAGTCAGGGTGGTAGAGTGGAGCAATGACAAAGATGTCATTTGACTGTTGCTTTTTGAAATGGTGACATGAATTTTTCAGAGGATTTTTTTTAAAGCATTTGTCAATCCAAGGGTAATACTGTATATTCCTCCTCTGGATATGAGGGAAGTATCATGGAACCTTGTGACTGAAGTTTGTGTTTGTGATGGTATTTGCATATATAGTTTCCAGTCACATAAATCCTCCTAAAATCTACAACAAGCATATGCAACATTGTATATGCTAGTTTATGTTAGAAGAACACACAACAAACTTAAATCCAGCAGCTTTCAGAAAGTGCATGGCCCTTCAGCAGCACAGAACTCATCTGTCTTAACTACACCAAAGTACCCGTTTGATATCTCACAGTACAAATACATGCTAAGTGCTCCAGCGTAGTTCTCCACCCTTTGGTGGAGAATTCACCATAAACTAGTGGAGGATTAGGGGAAAATCTGAGAATTTGACTTTGGCAGGAACATTCATATTTTAAGTCCCAACTGAAAATAGTTTCCAGTCCCTGCTTTCAATAAGAGGGCATGTTGATGAAACCACAAGCCCAGTCCAGGCAGATGCTACGTACTGATCTCTGCATTCATACAAAGAGATGATGCGCAACTGGACAACAACAGTCCGCACTAAATCTGTATGTTCAAATGTAGCTTTATCTGTTTAGCCACTGTTAAAACCCAAATTATTCCAGCCTTGCACTACAGAACACCATGTAAACCGCGTGCTGTATATTGCAGGCACCAGGTTGGACATCTAGCTGGGGCTGATTCCTGAAGCGCACCTCAAGGAATTGACTTAGCAATGCCAATCATTTTTTTAAGGGCAATGCCAGTGGATCAAAGGGAAACTAATAATGGTTATGAATGTCCAGTTTATAAAACCAAAAGCAGAGGGCCAACTTATGTTTGGACTTTCAATCCGAAAAGCAAGAAGTCAGGTAATGGGTTCTGGCAGGAATAGCTTTACTCTTGGCAGTTTAGTACTAACCTTTCACTAATACATGCTGCTTTCTCAATCTGCCTTGTAGTTAAAGTAAAAGAAGATAAACATTTTTCAAAGTCAGCTGGAGCAGGAGATTTGCCTCACAAAAACACAATCCTTAGTGTAACACTTATGTGCTCTATGTTGTTATTTCCTCATCCATCAGTGTTGTGTTCATGTGTTTCTTCACATAATGATTATTGATCTGCAAGCACCATTACACCAGCTATGGGAAAGTAAATGGGAAACATCAGCATCTGGGTGTAGTTTGACTCACAAAATACTCCTCTTTAGATTAGTCTTTATTCTCTCTACATAAAATGAAACATGTATCTTACAAGAATTTTAACATATTTTAACATGCAATACAAGCATGTTGCATTTAAACAAAGTTGTTCGAAAGCCTGGTTGTACAAATAAAAAAAACCTCTAAGTATGAACTGTAAGCAAAAAAAAAAATTAATCCTGAACTCTGATTTAGACCAGTTATAACCGCTGGATAGACGGTTCAGGTAGCAGGTGCACTACACAAAAACTGCTGGTTTTACTGGGATGATGTTTAAAATTTTTAAAATTTTATTTTATATTTTTAAAGAAACACTCTTCTAGTTTCATGTTTCGGTGAATAATTGCACTTTGAAATAAAATAAAAAAAACAATCATCCCCCCACTGGTCGATTGCATCAGCTTTGGTTGGAATTTTAATGGCATCAAATGAAAGTACACTTTCTTTCTTTGCAGGGACAAGTTCCATAAACTACAGGTGGATGAATAGGTTCAGAAAGCAAGGGTTGGAAAACTGAACCTTTAAGGTCAAGTTGGTAGACAAGGGTGTTTTGTTTCTTTAAAGATACGGATGCTTTGAAGGTAGTCGTTAAACATCCTTTCTGCAAACTTGCACAATTATATAAATAAAAATATTGCTCAAACTGATCAAGTTCTCTATCACATGCTTGGGTAGCTCTATTAAAAATTAACCACTCAAGGTTCAAGAGTGCCATTTCACTTAACCTATAGGTCTGTGCATGTAGATTTCTCTACCAAAACATTTTCCTGAGAGATCTTTTGCATAAGACCATATCAATCAAAAAGTCCCCAACACAGAAATGAATGTACTATACACAACAATTCTATCTTATATAAAACAGAGTAATAAACTTTTGAAGTCAAAATTTTTCAACATATTAACCAGTTGCAGGCACAGCTTGAGTTCAGTGTTGTCAATTGTCATCCGCCAGTTGTTTTTGTAAACTAGAAGACATGAGAAAACAATGTTAGTGCTTTTTAGGAAACTCAAGTTCCCCATAAATAACAGTTTCCGTTACCGAAGATGACAACTTCCAAAACAGCACTTCTATACGCTTCAAGGAACCAGCAGGAATTTCAAAATAGGCAAAAGCATTTCAATTTCTTAAGCAAAACAGTTGTTTACAGACACTATGACTCACTTCAAAGAAGCCAATTTCAGCGTAGGAAAAAATCTGAAGTCCAAGAGACTTCATTTGCATAGGTGCAGGATCTGCCCCAGGGCACAAGAAGTCAAGTGCTATTTAAGGGGCTACAACAGTTTAACAAGGAATGACTACGGAGCATGACCCTCACCTTTCCAGGTACTCCTTGACATTGTTGTAGCCATAGAACTTGGCCAGGTGGATGAGCATGCCGGTGGCACAGCGCCCGTCCCGCCGGCGGCAGTAGCTGCAGTTGCACACCCCACGACAAGGAGGACAGATCCAGGCCTGCAAGGGCATGAATGTGGGACAGGGGATAAAAGCAAGTTATGAGCAAGGTTATATCGGCCTTCCTGTTGCTCAGACAAACATGAGTATGGCTTCCTTACCATGTGACTGCTCAGGGCAAGGTTTTAAAAGCCTCTATCAGCCAGGCAGTCAACCTTGTTAACAATTTCCAAATTCTGCATGATTAAAGAAATCATTAAATGCTTTAATGCTTACTCTGAAGCCTCAGGTTCTCTAATGTGCTCAGTATTGATTTTCAGATAGACTGAAGTCATCTGTAATGCGTAATGATAATTCATTCTATGCTAGGCTGACTGTAGTCAACTCCCTAGAAAAAGATGGGTACCCATTGTGACAAGTTTCTTTGGCTCTGCCTGCTGGTATAGCACAATTCCTGGAATTGAATACCCAGCTCTTACATGAGTCAGGCATCTCCAAGCTGCTCAGCAACTGCACACAGAAGCGCAGGTGCTAATACAGCAGCCACTGCCAGCACCTCAGAGCCATCAGTTTTCTGCTGACCTTCAGAACAGCCCAGAAGCTCATCTCTAAAGCAGAGGTGGAGGAGAGGAGGTCTCAGAACAAGCCAAGCACTCTTATGCTACGAGGCCTCATTCTCTGGCAGCAGCCTGTGCTCTCTCCTTGCTCAGTGTCTCAGGGGACAACAAAGAAAAGGGAATCAACCCTAAGACTTTTATGGTCCTTCTCTTTTTTTCTCATATTTAAACATTGGAATCTAAAACAAAGAGCCTGTTTTGCATGCCACGTTACTGAGAGTATTCAACAATGTGTCTGTTTTGGCATTTTTCTGAAAGTGGACAGACTCCTTTTCTTAAAAGCTCTCACACTTGCCCTCCACCATCTGATAAGCAAGTGGAGCTTCAAAGCACAAAGACAGGTGGATGGTAACCCAGGTCCAGCACCTTCCACTTGAGTTCTAAACAAAATCAGTGTCAGTCATAACAGTACTACAGATCTTCTCATGGCAAAGACGTTTAAACACATCATGTTACCATGAGCATATATTATTCATTACACTTTTGTTCCAGGCCCAAAAAATGATACTTACTGGGTCAAGCAGAGCTGATTTCACATCTTCACCATATCGATTTCGAAGACATGGTCCACAAAACTGCCCTCTTACTCCTCCACAGCCCTGGTTGCGACAGATTGTCTTTGTATCTGTTGTCTTTTGTCGACACTGGTGGCAAGTACTACCCTAAAAGTGGAAAGGAGGAGAAACATCCTAGGACATCTTAAATGTTCAATGACAAACTTTCCTAATAATAAGCACAAATTTCAAACCGAAGTCAAATTCAGCAATGAAAATCTTAGTAAGTTCTATTATTATGATAAATCATTTAGCAATGGTAGGAATTTTACAAAGACAGTGTCCAGCTTCAGTTAGTTGTGTTGGAAGTCTCAAATTACATGAACCTCATGTTGCAGTTCTGATCCTTTCTTCTACCCAAGAAAAAGCTAGAACTATTCAGAAAATGACCTTGTGACTCATCTCTGCCAATACAATGAAATACATAGTAAGCTGATCTTTATGACAATCAATAGCCAAATCCAGTGAAAGAAAGGAAAGAGAAGTTCCATCAAGAACTTTGGAAACTACCCAACCTGTACAGAAATGTAATTTCCAGGGGGTACAAGGAACATCAGGGATCACTATTATTTAATAGTACAACCAATACAACATTTATATTGAGAATGAGAGATAAAAAGGATGCCAACTCTTATCAGTGGTGAGTCATAGCTATAGCAAATTTTATTTCATAGCTCTGTGGCAAGAAAGCACTTCTCTCCAGAGGCAAAAAGCCGGTGGGGTGTATCAACCAGCACAGTCAAGCCTGACAAAGCTTTCAAGGTTGTGCTTGCATAACATAATAATGATGAGCTGCACTCTCTCCAGAACCTCAGGAAAGCACACCTTTTAGCAAACTCCAGTGAACTACTGAGAGACTTTTAATTTTAAGCAGACAGACAAACTGAAGAATACAGCAGTCACTTACTAGAACTTTGTCATAGATTTTGTCTCTAACAGTGACTGCAATGTTGTCCAAGTCCTCTTCAGTAATATCTTCTACTGGACGATGAGACGAGTACTTTGATGATCTCCTTCTTTTGCGCACTCCACAATCCCCCTGCTAAACAAACTCATCTCAATACCTTTTGTCTGATGTCACGAAGACTCTGTCACCAAACCTGGTAACAAATTCTTTCATTTTTAATGTGTATGCAGTCCAGAGCGGGCAGACTACAGGCTCATGCACCACTGGAAGAACAGGTAATAGTTTCCAAATTATCACTGCCTCTTTCTCTCCCTCTCCTCCCTAACTTTTTCTCTACTACATTTTTTATTAATTCTGTTTCAATGTTCTTTCTTTCCATCATTACTACTTCTACTTCCGTAAATCCCTGACATGACTTCTGCTAACTTTTTTTTCTTTGCATTCCCTGCACTCCTCCACTGTAACCCTTCATACTCCATTTCTTCCCTCTCAAAATAAGAAACTATGATCATATGCCTTCTCGTGCTTTCCTCCTTCTATCTCCTTGTATACTCTCTGATTGCTTTCTCCAATGACAACGTCTAATGCCCTGCAAAAAACTCTCTACTGAAGTTTTAGGTTAGTCCCGCATACCCAGGCCTCCCTTTCTTACTATCCTCTTTGTTATTTGGAAGAGAGTACTCCACTCACTATTAAGTGCTCTTTTTTCATTCCAAACATCCTTCTCTTTGACCCCTATTCATGGATAAATCTTATCTGATTCTTAGCCTTCCCCATACCTGTCTCTTATGATCTCATTTGTCCTTCACTCTAAGATTGGCTCTGTTCTGTCCAAAACAGTCATTTGCCTGCCCAGGTTCTCATTCAGTGCTACTCCACTTTTTCTAATAGCCAAGTTCCCTCTATAATGCTTCAGCTATGCCCAGCACTCTTTCCTACAAGCAGAACTTATGAGTCTTCCTCATAAGGGCTAGGAATTTTCAGATAATGAATAAATAACAGACTGTAAGTAAACTGCTTTGTTACGCTTGGACAACACAGGTCACAAGCAGAGCCCACTCAACAGGTGAAAGATGAGGCAGAAAGGCCTGGAGATAACAACTTCTGTAGCTAATCCCAACCAAAGATTCTCAATAACTTTCTGTAACATGTGATGTCTGGTCTAAGTGCTGGCCAACAATTTAAATGTTTCCTAATTCCTGGCTACTGGAGATATCAAAGTCTGGCAAATACCACACTGAGTCTCTTCAAGAGGTTTTGTTGCCTATAGCTACGGATATGTTCTGCAAATTTGACAGCCGACACAGTAAATTTTTCCAAGGCAAATTTTTCTGGTGGACGAGCATTTCTGGTTGGGTTCATTCGACGTGCTATCTGGCCTTCAGAAAATGTCCTCCTTGGGGTTTTCTTCTGTTTCTAGAAGGAGAAGAAAATTTCAGTAACTGTCCTTTCAGTTATTCGTAGCATTAAACACTAGAAATGATCTGAAAATGTCTGTACCACACTTGTAGTATCATAAATCAATCTGTTGTTCTCCCACTCCCTAATTGTTAAGGCAAACCTCACCAATTTCTAGCATTCTTAAGTATACTCCCTACAGACTATAACCTTCTGCTCCTTTTAAAACACCACACCTTCAGGTCAAATTCTATTCCAATTAACATCATAGAACTACACCAAAATTTAACATGTTGTCATATTAAGGTAGAAGCTAGTTCTTACTGTTCTTTGGTAGTGAAATGCTCAGATTTTCCCACAATCTGAATACACCTTTGAGGAACAATCCAAATTCTAGTTTATTTTCTTTTAAACTTTTTAAATTGAAAGGGCATTATTAAGCTGCTTCTCGTGGTTCATGATTCCTAAAACTTGGAAATTCTTTAGAGGTGAAAGATATCCTCTTGATATTGTCACACCTGCCAATTACTGCGTGACTGAATTCATGTACCGTAAGTCCTGCCTGGGCACCTACCATAAGGCAGCTACTAAATCTGACAATATAAAGAAAATGTAGAAAGCAAGTCTGCTTGCTACCACACACTTATATTTTCTTTCAAAGAAGTGAAAGACACATTACAAGAAGACAGGCTGGAAGTCAAAAATCAAGCAGATGAAGTAACTAGAATACTTCTTGTGCCCTCCCCTTTCCTCCATTAAAGGTACTAAATAAAAGTAGTGGGCTTATGTACATATTTAAAGTATGTTTAAGTCTCTACAACATTTAACTAAAGCTAGCAAGGTGTTCCAGCCCTTCAAATTCTGTTTAACTTGGCTTCATTTTTTCACTTAATAACCACCATACCAGCATTTCTAAATGGGCTTTCCAAAGACATGGCTGTTCAGTTTTTCCTCACATCTCTTCTGTTTAAAATATATGTGGAAAAACACTAAAGAGAACTAGGAAGGATTGACAGTCCTCTGCTTAAAGTCGAGAAAAGGCAGTTGAAACAACTACAGTATTGTTCCAGTTTGTGTTGACATGTTTCAATTTCATGAACATTGCTCTACTGGGAAGTGTGGATTTTAGAAGAAAAGCCTGCAAGAGGGAAATGAACAGAATCTAAATCCAAAGGAAAGCAACTATTCTTCTTTGTTCCCACATACACAGACGTATGTCTACCATCTCAATAGTATTTCTAGGGCAAAAAATATAAAGTAGCATCTCATCTCAGTTTTCTTATTTCTTCATAAATTAACTTATAAAATTCCATTTCCTCACATAATCTCTAGTATTTCCTGACCAATAGCAAATCTGTACAAATAAAGTACCCAAACCTAAAGAAAACCAGAACAAACTTGGTCAAAGTTTCTGATTAAACACTTTAATCCTGAGTCTAACAAAAACAATTGTCACCACTAGTCAGTACCGAAAACTTACCGAAGGAGTTGAGGTGGGCGTTTTCACTGGGAACAGGTCTGGTATGGAATTCAATTCTGCCAGCAGCTGGGCAAGCTGAAATCAAGAGATGTCACATTAAAAGCTCTCTGCAACTTGCAAACAAGCAACACCTACTATCCACTCTTCACATGCACTTCAAATTATATCTAAACATATGAACTTTCAGTGCATGAAACTTTCTGGAGGCACTTTATTTAAATGGAGCTCACAAAAGGGGTTCATTTTACTCCTGAATGAGCAAAACTCTGCAGTCTAGCAGTGCTAACTTCATAGCTCCCACTAATTGTTACTGGGAACTAGAATTAGACAGAATTACATAAAATCTTGTCGAAACAGCACTAAGGGAGCACAATACAACATGGTAATAACACCCATGACCAATAACAAGAAATTCAGTTCATGTGCCAGGAGAGAGGGAAGAAAGAAAGACAGGGTGCCCTTGGCAGAAGACAGTAAGATGTTCCCTGTGGACTGTTTTACTGAATGACTGCTGAAAGATCTGTGCTTTTTGTCAGAGAACTCAGTGTCCCCTTAAGCAGTGCAGATACAACCAGAGACATGGGTACACTCTCATTTACAAAGTCATAAAGCAACTGAGCCCCACTGGCAGTTCCTGTAACCACAGCACATGCAGCATCAGAAGCAGTTCAGCAGGATGATCTTTTGCACTGTGTAGATGTCCTGGAGGTACATTACCATAGAAGCAGTGCAAAAATTACATTTATGATCCTTAGCAGTTTCTACTTGGCTTTCCAATCAGTAACTGCAGCAGATCTGTCGTGCACTAACAAAAAGCAGAAAATCTATTGTGCAAGTGACACCATGAAACACCTGAAGGGATCAGCTGGTTTTCTGACATGTTCTGAATATAGGGCCACAAAACTTGGGCATCTGTAACTTTGTTCACATCCTCATTAAAAATGCTTGGTTCAGCTCTGGTTTTAAACTTGACCAGCCTAGTCCTACTTGAGGCTATTTTAGAGGTAAATGTCTGAGTGCTGAAAGACCTGTAGGGTTTTCCCAGGTAGAAAAATTCACCGTAAGATTTTCCCAGCATAGCACCAACAGGGACCCCAAAAATCAAGTATGCTGAAGCTAAGTAATTGCATGTAAACGTCAGAGAACGAAACAGCACTCATAAGTCTTACCATGGCTTTATTTTCTTTTATATTTATGGCTCTCTTAATCATTGCACTGGAACTTTCCTCCTGTGTTTCTTTAATGTCTTCTTCAGACTCTGAAGCAGAGCCCTCTAGTTTGTCCGACCACTTGCAGTTTATTTCTCTTGAAAGAGGTGTGAGGGATTCACTGTCCTTTACAGGTAAGTCAGACAAAGACTGTTCAGGCACTTTTTTCTCAGATGACTTTCTGGTGGGAAACTGCAAAGCAACACGAAGGCCGAAGCTTCTTCTCTTGGGGGAAACTTCCTCCTTTTCTTCCTCATTACCCAATAAATTAGGGCATTCTTCATCACTCAGGTCTGACTCCACCGTCTAGAGGCAGGAAGAATCCCATGTTACATTACTGGCTGTGACACAATAAAAGTAATTTTTAAATCACTACTTCTAGACAGCAGTCTCAGCACCCAAAGGCAGCATCATAAATTCACCTAAATCAACAAATTTTTAAAAGTTCACAGTACGCAACTTCTTCCTGTGCAGAGATCAATACAAAATCTACATATTAATATAGTCTGGGATACAGACATGGCTGTCTCCAGAGGAAGAATCTTGCCCAGCACAGTCAGTCTACAAGCAGGGGAAGAAGTTGTCATTTCTAATATGCGATGCTACATTAAATAAATCTCTTTCAAGGTAACACATTTAAATTCAGGATGAAGAAAGAACATCACAGTGTTATCAGAAAAAATCCTACTAGAACAGGAGGTTTACACAGAAGAGACAGAAACAAAGAAGTCAACGTATACATTGACTGTAGGTGTGACTGCCTTTACCAGAACTTCTTTCTTGTTCACATGCACCTCATTTGAAGTAAAGCCTTCAAATGCTTCTGTTTCAGAGTCTGTGTCTTCAGTGAAAATCCTCCGCAGTTCTTCAGTGAGGTATCTGGACTGAAATCGGCCTCCCTGCAAAAATAGCAGCCAGTAGCTGTGAGAAACAGATACAGAGTAGTCACACAGCCACAGGAAACCAGTTTTGAGGTTCAAGACGGTACCAATTCGATGGCATATACTGTGAAAGCACTTAGCAGGCAAAGCCTGTCAAAACTAAAAAAGAAGACAACATTCAGTTTCAGCATTGAGTTATTTTAACCCAGAAAGATTTTTTCCCCTCATTTTGAGCCCAGGGCTTTAACTGAGCTGCTTCTTGTGGGGAAAACTTTCTTCTTCATCTCTTCCTCCCCTTCTTCATTACTACCCAAAAAAAAAATAAACTATTAGTTGTCTTAGGAGTAAATTATCATGTCGTTTTGCATGTTTTCTTCTGCATGTAAAAAACCAGGCCTTGAATAAAAGAAGATACAAACCACAATTACAGTAAGAAAGAGCCCTCCTTTTTTGACATTGCAGTAGAAAAAACTACCTCCTCTAGGCTTGCTGCAGCAGTACAGGCTCCTGGAGATGGGAGTCTGCTCCTCCTCACACTGTTACCCTGTCACTGAACTGCCAGATACCAACACAAATCCACAGAGCTTCAAACAGCCTGACTGACATCTCTCCACCTTTCAACTGCTCAGATCTGTTTTTGGTGCACTTTATTATTCACACATGTTCTAGGGTAGACAGATCCTAAATTTCTGCCTACAGACCAGGAAGTAAAAAGATCTCATAAAACACAATATGCACATTACATACCAGTTAAACACAATATTTTTACTAAATCAGAAATGTATTTCCATACTTCCAGTCAGAACTAGTAGAAGACCATCTTGTCAACTTCTCTGTTAGTCTCCCAAAAGATTTGCTCACATGTTCACACTACACCTGCCCCTTGAAAGTCAGAAACATATGTTTGTTTCCCCAATTTTCCTCTACTATTTCTTCCTCCCACATGAAAAACAAAACTTACCTTTAATACAATGCACTTGATAAATATCTTTATTCTTCCTTTCAACCCTCCCTTCCCAGACTTTAATTAGACACTTCTTTACATTAATATCTGGTGAAAAACTTAGAGGGGACTGGGCGGGAGGGGGTGGGGGGCTACTGCATATGCTCTTTCTTTACACTTAAAACATCTACAAATTATTATGGGTAATTGGAATGAGTTTTCTCTGAGCAAAATTACTTCATTCTTTTGATGTTGATAGCTGCAGTGCAGCTGCTTGAGAAAGGAACAAACACAATAGGGAAGTTACTTAAAAGTTGAATTACATTTCATGAAGGGAAACTGATGTTTTTATGCATTCTGTGTTTTCATGAAATTCCACAGTGAAGTTTGGGGGGGGGGAATATGCTGTTTGTTAGCTAAAGTAACTAAAAATAACACATGTAGAGCTATGCTGTTGCATCTATGAAGAACTGTCTATACAAGGTAAAATACACATCAGGGATACCTATAGAAGAAATGGTGGAAGCTCAGCAGAAATGCAGAGATTATGGGAGTAGGACTTCAGAAAGCTCTGATGAAAAGCAGGCATACAGAGGTCATTACTTGTTAACTCATTTATGCATCAGATCCAAGAGAACACCTGATGCACTGACATTCCATTCATCACCTCAGGAGGGCAGCTACCTTGCCTCCTCTCCCAATAACCGCAGAATTTTTCTGAACTTCCCATCGTTTTGTCCCTCACACCAAAACTTTTTTGTTTCCCGCACAGGTATTTATAGTCTTTTGCAGCAACGGTGGTGTTTAGCATCATAAACTCCAGATGATGCTCATCCTGATGAAGGGCCCAGATGCACAAGGACTGCAGATTATGTTGCAATTGGATGGAACTCAGGATATTTTTATTACAGCATTTGGAGGTAAAGGAGTTAAACTCAACACTGATGGACATTTAAAGTAATTCTCAGCCCAAGGGAAACACAGGCATGGTGAGGAAGGAGGTTGCAGTGCCAGCTGGAAATTTGGAACAAGTCTCACTGGGATTCTCAGTAACACATGTTAAAGTAGCAGTAACATTTTTCATCAGAGGATTTTAAAATGCTTTTTCAGCAAAGACCATTATGATAATCTTCATTTCACAAGCTGGGAAACCAAAGGAGAGAGAAGTAAAGTAAGCTGTCTGCAGTCCCCAAGCAGGCAGCAGAAGCTCAGGCTCCCAAACAAGGCTTCCCCTCCACCACCACCTCTCCCCAGTGATCCTTCTTGATGCTCCATACAAAGTCACAGATACAAAAGTAAGCTACCTCTCGGTTTTATGAAGTTATCAGTACTGCTGTCTAGCAACAAGATTACAAACCAATTTAGACCCAATATATTTCACTACATTTTAGCCATCATCTTTCTCTGGCTCTACCCCCAAAAGGTTTCTGCACCCTCCTTACATCATTCGCCTATAAAGGCCCAGAAACAGTACATACTCCTACAAGCCTTGTTCTGTCTGTTTCATTTGCTAACACTAATCATCTTCCTTGCCATGAGCACCTCTTAACCAAGTACTGACCTGATGGACTAGGAAAAGAAAAGGCATTTTTAATTTTCTTATTAATCAAACAGAGGAACCTTTTTGAGAGTACAAATGACAAAGGTATCTTATAATACATTAATGCCATGTCTATCAAATATAGGCTCCTAAAAGCCTAAAAACTAAATTTTTGTGCAGCCAAGACAGCACACCAATTGTATTCCTTTCTTGTGAATTCAGCTGCTACCTCCAGCTACCAAATCAGAGAAGGAAAAATATCAAATCATTGCGCTGATCCAAGCTCCTTCACCATCAAGAGAGCAGAGAACCAGCAAATCACACTATCACAGCAGAAGCTGATGGTTTCTGTGGGTCACCACTATTAAAACATGATTTAGTACAGAAACAGCACTGAGATAAATTTCTGGAAGAAATACCTTGAAGTCTGCATACTCACAAATGGCCATCCAGTATCATGCATTTCCACTGCCTTAGGTATCCAGAGCACACCAGCCCACAACACTAATTCTATCTTTCCTGTTTGCTACACTTAGTTATTTCACTTAAACTCACCTTCTAATGAAACCCATTTTCTTTTTTACGACGTTTTCAAAAACCATCATTAAATCCTAAAAAGGATAGCAAGTTTGTTTACATTTCTTTTTAATATGAGAACTGCAAATTATGGATTGTTGTGTGAGTTAGGGTTCACACAGCTTTGACACAGGCTCAGAGTACTACTGCACCCAAAAGGCATAACTGGACCATGGCAATCCATTCCTACCTTTTTTCCAGACTCCAGGGAATCAAAACTAGCATAGCTGTTCTCTGACAACAAGTTCTGTCTGGAAGCATCATCTTGGAACCCTGGAAAATCTTCATTGCCACTGGGGGCATTAAAAATGTTGGCCACATCCTTGGGTATCTGTTTCTGATTCAAAACAAGACAGAAGATAAGAGTCAGATGTGCCAGCTTAATAGGAAGACTCAAACTGGCAATAGTACAACTTATTTTTGTACTCCCGTGCAACTACAAATCTGTATCACAAAATATGATATGTGTAAATTGTATCTCATTTAGCCAAACTCCAGGAAAATTCTGTATAGTCTGTTTTAATCCCTAAATAGAAACTCAAGATCTGGGGTGAGAAAGGGGATGCGATAGGCAGGGTGTTTAACTCCATGGGAAAGTACTTTTCAGACATAAAAATACATGGTGAGAGGACAGTTCCTCATCTAAAGGAGTTGTTCTCGAGCCCTTAATGTTCAACAGAACATCACTGAGATGAAGTTCAGAATTAAGAGCACTCTGCCCTTTTCCACTGTCACTGACAAGGAAGGTTGCTCATACAGGCCCCTATATGATTATTTTTTATTATTCTTTTATCTTTTTTAAAATTTAGTTGTGCCAAGGTGAAGGACCTAGAGGAGGCTCATTCTCCAAAAATAATGTTGCTGAAATAAGTTCCACCTCCATTACAAGAGCAAGCAGTAACTTGACCAAAGTATCACACTCTGAAATAAGCTACAGTAATGTGGGAACATGGGCCCAATTTTATTCTGCTGAAGTCATGCTGTCCGTACTTGAACCCCTTTGGATACTCCCTCACCCCCGCCTCCTACAGCCAACAGCCAGAATCCGCTGCTGTGATGAAATTAATTCAGAACAGAGAAGTGTTAAAAATGAAGCATTATGCATTTTAATGGAAATACATACTAGGAGCTATGCGCCTCGCTGCTATGAATAAATTGGTTCCAGGAGCCACTGCATTAGTTCTTGTGCTAATGTACATCTGAGTTAGCCACTGCTGTGATTACTGTATGCCTAATTTCTTCTTCTTCATCTATTGCTTCTGCATCTGCACCAGAGGAGTCATTATGGGGGTGCAATTACTGATTTTGATCCAAAAAAAACAAACTCTTTCCTTGTAGAAGACTTTTTTTTTTTAACCTTTTATGCATTCCCAAGTTACTAAGGTACTAGTATTGATTTAAGTAACTTACGGCAGACCTTCAAGTTTTAGTTTGTGACTTGCTCCCCATAGCCTGCCTACAAAGAATCTCATTCAGTCATTGATGAGTGCCCATTTTATCAAAAGGGCTTAAGGTAACAATAGACAAACCTGATGCATACAAGGTGGGCACACTTCAGAAGTTTAAAAAGAGCATCCTCACCATTGAAGCTTGTTCATCAACACTATTTCCACAGCTGAAATCCTGTATTTCTACACCCAAAATCACAAATCAAGTTTATTCCCAGCAGAAGTCCACTGCCATCAGCAGACAGACATCAAAGACAAGCATGCACCAAACATCTCTGCCATGATGGGTTTGTTGGCTGTCATTTATTGTGTAGTCCTGGAAGCCACTGGTATTTTCATTTTTAACTTTCAGTATACAAATAACTTTTCAACTACATTCTGATTTTCAATCAGCATCAGAGCCTAGGATTTTAACTTTGTCAAAAAATTAGTATATCCAAAGAAAGTAAATACATATATGCCTAAACACAAATGTCAAAATATTTATCTATTCTAAACACCTGGATGACACAGAACATTTTTGCCACTAAATCCCTTAAAAAGGCAGGAAGAGAAAGAGATGATGAACATTCCAAGTTGGCTCAGGGAAAACATTTCAATATGAACAGACCACATGTTCAGATACAATGGTCTGCTGCAATGTTGCAGATGTGAGAAGTAACGTCTTTTAAAGATACCCGCTACAACGGATAAATACCAAAAGTCTAGCAAAAGTTGGAAATAATTCACAGCTGCTGGAAAAGTCAGTTTTATTTGTAATAGGAGATTTCATACCTACTGAACTCATTTATTTTTGCATAATAAATAAAACACAGTTACTTGTTTAAAAGCCCCAAAAGGTACTTTTCAAAAACAGCAGCAAACCTTCCCAGCTACAAACAGCACACAATCCAAAAACTGCCAGAATAACCAAGCCTGTGTTTTTTCAGCAGAAGTCTGAAGTTCAAGACATCCCCATCTCTCAGTTCTCCCTTCTCCAAATTTGACAAAATACCACCAGTACATCGAGGAGCACACTCAGATGCCTTGGGCTGCGTGGAGTTACCATTCCCACAGAACCATGAGCAGGCAGTTCATGTGTGCCTGTGGGGGCTGGCAGGGCTGTCACCAAGGACCAAGGCTGACAGAGACAGAAAATGAGGCCAGGAGGGTTGTCAGATCTGTTTCAATCATGAGTGATTGGAAAAGGAAGGCACCTGAGGTCCCCAGCTGTCACAAGAACATTTTTCCAAGCACTATCCCCATGAATTCCGCCTGTCTTGTTAGGCAAGGAAAAAAAGAAAAGCCTGAGGTGAGCTGTTTTACTTTCCACATCAACAGGAAGAATTCTCACGTTTCAAGTGAAAAAGCAACTTTCCTGATACCATAACCAGAAAACATGCAACTTGCCCTTCTGTAGGCTGCAAGGAGAGAACGCTTGCCTGCATGCACATTCACGGATTTGGTGGGAAGTATCAGCTATTTCTACGCCACTGACTAACATATTTGATTTTTTTAAGAATTATTTGTATGCATCACTTTCCTTGCCGATTGTGACACTAACACATTCTTTTCTGACAGTGTGTATCAGAAGAACATACAGTATGAGAAAGCAGGGCTACATGTAATTCTCTTATTTTTGCTCCTACCACGAAAAAAAAACCATCAGTTGGGCTGTGTTCCCTTATTCAAGTTTGCACAATGTATTCCTATTCAAAGCAGAGGACAGACAATTTCAACCATGTTCAAACTCAGTCAAACTGAAATAATTCCAGTTTAACCCCAAACAGATGCTCACACAAACCAAATCTGTGCAAAGTCACACCAACACACACTGGAAAGCCTCTTAAGTTGTCCCAGGTTCAGCATGGAGGCAAGCTCAAGGCATGCCACCTAAGGGTTACAGGCACTGGATTTGGCTCATACCCCAAAAAAACAACCGAACAGGGAAGCATTCCAAGGCTGACAATTCTGAGCAGCACTACAAGAATAGAGGGCCCCAGCCAAAATGTCAATAGGTGCCAAACCAGTAAACCAAAACTATTTAGAAGTCAAGATCCTGTTTTTTTCACTGAAATCATAAAGGCGAACAGCATTGCAAAAGTTTAATTTTAGGCATCATACAAATGTGTGAGAGACGTGGAAGGCAAAGAGTCCCTTACTACAGCCCAAAAGAATCACACAACTGGATGCAGAGTCAACAGGACTGTCAACACCATAACCAGCCTGAGACTCAAGGTCAACAATGAAATCTAGGAAGGCAAGGAAGATCCCAGATGATCTTCACAATTTCTCAACAGCATTAGACCACAAACTTCTGAAACTTTCTGGATATGAAATATATTCCTGGCACAAGTGGCAGGAGGTTGAAAGGCAAGCGAGTGTTCAGAAAAAAAAAAGGAACAAGTGATAAAATGAGCAGTCAACACCCACTTTTATGATCTTTGCAGACATAATGTGATTCCAGTGAAGGTGAAGATGGATTATGCCTGAGCCTGTAAATCTGTCACAGCAGTAACTCCTGGGACTTTCATGCTGCCCCCTGAAAAAGTTCTGGCAATTTCACCTCAGACAACCTACTGCTAAATTCAAGTAAATTCTGCTATTTTCAGAACAGTGGAATAGGGTTTCTGTGTTGCCTTATTTAAACTGATAAGCTAATGCCTATCAAGCTACTTTATCCTAAGGTAAGGAACGTCCAACTATCATGATCACATGGTGAGCCATTTAAAATGCCACCTCCATAGGCAATACCTGCCTGAAAACTATTTCCTACTTTTCAAAAATGCTGATAATACTGTGAATATCAGCATGCTGTCATATGAACACAGTTCAAACACTGTCAACTGCTACTATCTGTTCCTTTGTACTATCTAATCTCTCACCGATTCAAACAGTTGTAACAGCTATTTCTGAATTAATTCTGCATAATTCAAGAGCATCCTTTTCATCTATGGTGGTGCCTAACTACTTTCCAAGCCCTGGCGTTCCAAGGAAAACGCTTTTGTACAATACCACAGGCATACTACACATCCCTGCTCTGTGTCTCAATTACTAGTGTCCAGTCTTTTCGGGTGCAAGTGCTTTGTCAGCCAGCCTCTCTTTAACAAGCTCTGTGTACTGAAACTGCCGTGCAAGGACCTGGTAAATTAGACTCTGGGACGGGAAATGGAACTGCAGGTATTGTGATTCAAAACAATTTTGTACTGTTGACTTCTTTAGCAGTTGTTTTCAATGGGGACACATACAAGTTAATTTGCCTGTCAGCAGACAGTATGTGACTTCAGAGGCAAGGAAACCTTTGCCACCATATCCTTCTGGCCCAGGCAGAACTGAACTCACTGCTCACCAGTGTATCACAAAGACGAGGGAGAGCCAGCACAAGGCTGCACTCAGACAAGAACGAACTCCCATGAGAAACAGGAAAGCACCAAAAACACTGTGTCCTTCTCCCCTTTGCTAAGCCTTAAAAGAAACAACATGTGCAGCCTGTTAGCTCTGCACTAGAAAGGTGACTAGCAGACGGTAAGAACCTCTTGTTCCAGCACCAGAGGTGAGAAGTGAAGTGCTATTCGCTTCTATTGTCAACCAGGTTTCTCCCAAACTGTTTTATAGTGCTCTTATCTTCACACTGACAATGAGGGGCCTGAGGTCATACACAGGTAGAAGGTTTACAAAGTCTCTGACAGGACAGAGGTCCTATGTTCCGATGGTCTCTACTACACTTGTCCCATAGAAACCCATATAAAGCCCTAACTTTCCATCATCAAGAGCTGAGATTCTGACTTTCCCCTCACTCATTCCCACCACTTGGGAAGCTCACCATGACTGAAGGGAAGTCAATTTATATTACATATAAGGAGAACAGTAAAACACTGGAACAGGTTGTCTAGAGAGCTGGTGGATGCCCCATCCCTGGAAACATTCAAGGTCAGGTTGGATGGAGCTCTGAGCAAGCTGATCTAGTTGAAGATGGCACTGCTCATTCGAGAGCGGGAGGGTGATCAGATGAGGTCCCTCCCAACCCAAACTATTCTGTGAATCCATAGCTACACCTCCTCCTAAGACGTGAAGCGCACACAAGCCTGACGCACCCAAGCGCGCGCCAGGCTCGGACCAGACCGCAGCCAGTGGAACCACGCCTGTGTTCGTCCCGAACCCTCCAGCCTCACCAAAACTTACATGCGTGTTTGGGGTGGCATCGCGGTGTTTCAACACCACGAACAAAAAAGCGGCCAGAATTAAAAATAAATAAATTAATTAGCTATTTCTAAACTGGCATCCCCAGGCTCACAGAGACTAATTAATTAACAGAGCTCCTCCACATCAGCCTTTACTAGAGCCGCCGCAGATCCCAGCACCGGGGCAGCTGCCCCACGCCGGTGCTGAGCCCCTCGGGCGGTTTCCACCCCCTTCCCGGCCTTTTACAAGCCCGGAGCCGTCGCGCCACGTGGAGGGCGCCCGGCGGGACCGCGGCTGCCGCGCCGGCCGGGGCCGCGAGCACCGGGCGGGGGCGGCGCGGGGGGCCGGGGGCGCTGCCCCGCCGATGCCCGCCCTCCGTCCCGGTGCTGAGGGGCAGCGCCTCCGACCCCCCGCGCTGCGGTCAGCGGACAAAGGCCGCCGCTGTCCCGGGAAGGCGGAAAGCTACCAGGCCAGCTCCCTTCCCCGCCGCCCGACCCTGCTGCCCCGCTCCGCGCAGCCCGCGGGCCGCCTCACCGTGCCGCGGGTCCGCGCTGCCGCCGCCCCCCGCCGCCGCCGCCGGCCCCTCCGCGCCATGGCCGCCCGCGCTGCCGCGGGAGGAGGAAGGGGACGGAGGAGGGAGGAGGAGCGGGGGGCGGTGGCGGGGTGGAGCCGCCCGGCGGCGGCGGGAAAGGCGGGATGGGGACGGGGCACCCTGTGTAGCCTGACTGGGGATGGGGAAGTGCCGTCCGGATGCTGCTGCGGAGCCCTCGGTGGTGCGGGCACTCCCCCCGTGGCACCTGGCATCGTCCATTCTTTCATACACACGCGTCGCAGGACAGCAGCTGTTAGTCTGAAAGGAGCGGTCTTTGCCTTGGGGGAATAGGCTTTCATCTTCTAAATAATTTAAACTGTTTATTTAGTACAAGCGAGAAGTGTAAGCCTCTTGAAAACCTTTAAAAGGGGTGAGAATGCAGATGTGTAGCTTTAGAATCGTGAGGGTTGGAAAAGACCTCTAAGATCATCAAATCCAACCATTAACCCAGCACGTGTGATCACCACTAACCCATGGCCCCAACTGCCACATCCACACTATTTTTGAACACTTTCAGGGATGTGATTCCACCACTTCCCTGGGCAGTCTGTTCCAAAGCCTGACCACGCTCTAAGTGAAGAAATTTTTCCTAATATGCAATCTAAACCTCCCTGGCAGAATCTGAGGCCATTTTTTCCTCTCCTATTGCTTGTTCCTTGTGAGAAGAGACCGACCCCACCCTGCTACAACCTCCTTTCGGGTAGCTTCAGAGAGGAATCAGGTCTCCCCTGAGCCTCCTTTTCTCCTGTCTAAACAAGCCCAGTTCCCTCAGCCAGTCCTCATCAGACTTGTGCTCCAGACCCTTCCAGAAATTGAGTGCAATTGAAGACTATGTCTGAGCTGGGGGATCTCAAGATAAGGTCTGAGGGTTTGTTTCACACCCAGGTTTCTGTCTAACAGCATGTGGGTGATCTTCCACAAGCCCTCTAGTCTGGATAATTGGACCAGAACAGCAAGAAATTCACTTGCCTACGTAATCTGGCTGAAATAAACTCCTGATAACTATCTCTATCATTTTTTAATGGATAAAAGCAAATCAGAGGAACCAACTGTGTTACTCTGTAGCTTGCCTTCAAACTCAATTGTGAATTACCATGCTAATAATAAATTCAGATTGTTTTGACTATTTAATACCTTCTGGATGACATAGAATTAAAAGTTATATATATGTGTTCATTTAGGGGAGCGCTTCAAAATGTGCTGTGCAGTCTGCCTACTTCAATGAGTTCCCAGGTCTGACTAGGTCTTTTAAATACTCTACTGTAATTATTGACTTAAAATAAAAGAGAAAAGCAACATTTTTGTTGGAAAGTGAAGGACAGATGAGAAAATGTTGTCTTTTGCCATTCTTTGAATAGCCACCCTTAAAAGTGGAAGAGCCTCTTCATGTACCATGTTTCTGATCCTCGGTGTAACACATGGTGGACTTCCCGTTTAAGTACTTCCAAGCCTTTATATTCCAATCATATGGAGAGTATTTGTTAAGAGAGAATGCGAGGAGAGTTGTTACATGCAAACAAAGAACCGTTTAGCCAAAGCAGGCCATTTAAATACTGGTTTGCATTGCAATATCCACTATAGAGGCACCTGCAGTTGTCACTCAGGCTGCAGAAATAAGAAGCTTTGAGCATGAGGTGGGGAGGAGGGAATTCAGTAGAAGACAAAATGCAGGAATTATGTATAATATCAGCAAAATTGAAATGTGGACTTCTTAAAATACAAAAGAATAAAGATCTCTTGTGTGATACATTCCTGAAAGACTTGCATTTTATGTATTCCACTGCTGACCCTGGGTTTGGTTCTTTCACTTGTCCCTAACAGTCTACATTATGAAGCACTTCGTTTGTTAAAAGCTGTCAAGAAGCTATCTTGGTTGCGAACAACAGATTTGAAATGACTGTGTTGACTGTTCTGTGCTAAATTAGAGTGAATAAAATTGCATTCTCTCACAATAGAGATGTGCAGCTATTATGCTGTTACAGATACATTATGAGCTGCCTGATATCTTCAGCTATTTTATGCAATTTGTTGCTTTGTTTCTCTTTTTTTTCTGTTAAATTTACACTTCATTTTATACTTTCACAATCATTCTCCTTCTCAGCATTTCCAAGCCCTTCTTGTCAGTTGTTGCTCTCTATGTTGCTCTATTAGAAGTATTTTTTAGATTTTTTTTAGGTTTTTTTTAGATTTTGTTACTTTAATTTTTCTGCAGCTGTATCGCAAACACATGTCAGTGTGGACTTTCCATCACTGAATTCCTGACCATTTTCTTTACCTCCTTTCATATTACTTCAAAGTTCATTTTTCTACTGCCTAACAGTTTTTGTGTTATTGCCTTGTCAGTAGGATCTCATCAGCTGCTCAGATGAGGTTCAGCTGAATTCTGGGTACTCTTTAACTTCAGCCTTACATATTAAGCCTGAATTATTTTGCAATTACTGGGTCCAGAATAGTTTCTGACCTTGCTTATCATCTCATGACAGCATTGCTGATAATGCCTTAATCGAAGTTTTCAAACTCATAAACTATACAATGAAATTCATAACAGTGAGTTCTGTCTTGGGCTCAGTATGATTATTATAATAAGACTATAACTCTCCAAACAGATCAAATGTGTACTGAAGGAATTATGAGCTGCTCAGAATATGTATCAGGTGTAGCAGATCAGTTTATGGGATACTCGGTAACACAACACTAACATCCTGATGCACAGTAAAATTACAGGACAGAACCACCATCTCTGAAGTGACCTTGTAAACAGAAAATTTGTTTGCCATGAGTTTCAAATTAACAAATACCATTCTAAGTTATAATTTTGAACTTTACTGCTGTGAATTTACCAAGCTCGATAAACATTAAAATTAATCCTTGCTCCTGAACTCTGTTTTCACTGCCCCCTCTAACAGTCTCTAATTTGGGGGGCATTGTAATCACAACTGGGGGCTTTGCTCCCATCTTCCTGCCACCACGCTTCTCTGAGACCTGTCAAGCATTTTAAGTAGCATGCACTTTCCCACACTTCTCAATGAATGCTGACATACCTAACTTAAAAGGATTACTTTCTGCTGAGAGGAATTGTAATCTTCTTTTCCTGCTCTGCAAATCCTCTAGTAAGTGAAAAAGAAAAGCTAAGATCTGTTCTGCTGTGCAGGGCAAATCACCATCTCAGAACGTATAGAAGAAAACAACAAATCCAAGATTTACTTGTGGTCACGCTTGTCCAGGAGCTGTGTCCCTGACTATTAACTCATTGACATCCTCCATCATTATTTTTGGTGCTTTGATATTTTCTGTTTTAGTTTATAAAAGCTATATGAATACACACACAATTGCTACTGTGAATGGTGCTCAGGACAAAACACTTCTCTCAAAGATATCTAAAAGGAGCTACAGATACAGAAATGCCTTAACTTGACCCCAGATTTTAATATTATGTATTCTGTTAGCAAAACCAAGAAACATACTTTTAGCTTATATACAAAACCTAACAGTTTTTCAAACTGTCTAAGGTCAATTTGCAGTATTTTCAAAAGCTGTTGCCAAAGATGCCGGTGGTAGTGGTGAAGGTTTGTGCTCCAAGGATGGGTTGTGGGTGGTATCCGACACAACAACAAAATCACAAATGTTCCTGCTACATTGATTTCCACCCACTCATCTCAAAACCTCTCCTCACACGTGGTGGTTGTTGCAACAAATTGGCTTGTGGGTGAGGCTGAGGGCAAAGATTGGGTGATCTTATGCTACCAACTGAAAACGAAGCCGCAGGTTATTCTTTTGCAATAGTAATCTGAAAGCTAAGAAAGCCTTCCTCATGCTCTCTCATCATTCTCTTAAAAGAGTTGCAAGACGTGGGGCAGTTTGCCAATAAAGCTTTCGTAGCTGAAAATTAAATTTTCTTGTTTCATATTTTGTTATGGTTATAAACCAGTATTTTGTTTACAGTCATTCATAAAGTAGATGAACCAGATTCAATGTCCCCTCCCCTTTCCATTCAGTTATTAGACAGCAAGCTGTACTCACAAGGTGAATGAACATCAGCTTCAGGCTTCCTCACAGGAAGTGTTTTCCTTTCCGGTACTACACTGCTGCAGCAAAAAATCCAGACTCCAAATTTATAAGAAGATCTTTTACATGCTTTACTTGATCTAATCCTGCAAATCTAAGATCAAGGTGAACAGACATGTCCATTGCTAATGCATCGTAAAATTCCTTGTTGATATTTGGAACTGTCTGTCGTGTGTTTTTGTTAAATCTTAGCTGTATTTCAGCCCACTCTGATGGATGACTGCTTCCAAACTGCCCATGAGGCGACTGTGTTAGCTGTTACTGATTCCTCCTTGGGTAAATTCTGCAGCATCAGCAGAGCTGGAACATTTAGGCTGAAGATGGGAAATGCCCTTCTCTCCTATACCTTTCCAGCCATTCATCTGGGACAAATGAGTCTTATTGTTTCAGAGAAATGAGCTTTGGATTTTCCTTTCAGTGGACGTGGAGGGTTTTTTTGTATCCTGTGAGCTAGGATTATCTGACCTTTCTCCTCTTGCTTTGCGTGGTTTAGAAAAAGGCTAGGAACATGTAACAAAGCTCCATTTAATCCACATTCTCCAGTCATTCACTTCCCAATTCTTTCTCCTGTGTCATCCTTTTAATTTCTTTATGATGCTGATTTGTCAGTTCTGTAAATCCTTCTGAAGATCATTGTCGCTAGCAAACTCCAGACTCACCAAAGTTTGCCTAGCATAAATTTCCTGAAATAATTGTCCAATTGCCATTCCACTTTGACATCTGAAGCTGAGAGAGCAATCTGCTCTGACTTCTCATACCCAACAAAGTCTTTGCATCAAAGCTCTTCTCTTGTATGAAATGCCATCCTTCATGACTTCTTGGGGTGCTTCAGGTTTGCTATTTTTATTGTTTTTGCAAAGTTCAGTTTCAGTTTCCATTTCAAATGCATTAGTCAGTATTTAAGTTTTGCAAGTATTTCTACCACCTTACATAAGAATTTCTTCAACTCGATTACATGCCGACTCAATGGGTTTTTCTCTTGGACTTCTTAACCTCCCTTAGACAGCACCTGCATGAGTTAAGCAATGAGTTGAAAGCACAGGGAAACACAGCTCATCTCATTTAGAAGCAGAAAATGAAGATATGTGCTAGGTATTTCTTTGGTGCATTCTGATTTACTTACAACTTAAAGACCCTTTTCTGCAAT